GATCGTTCCAAAATCGATCGCGTTCTTCACTATGGTCATCATCACCACGACCACGATGTCCACGAGTATTGTAGCCTTTATCTTCTTGATAATCATCATAAATTAAATCACGATATAAATCCTTTTCTCCACTGCCACCACGTCGATGTGGTCCCATACGTTCGCGTGATCTCGAGCGTGAATTACGACGACGAAAATTTTGATCACGACTACGTTCGCTACACATGCATATATACATAGGACCATAACAAATTTGTATATTAGAACCATTAATTTTTGCTTTGAACACTTTACTATACGATATATGTAGGTATGTACTTTATACACTTACCGTGATCTTGAACGAGAACGGGAGCGACTGTAACGGCGGTGGTCTCGTCGTGAGCCTCCGCCACCGGCCATATTACCACCATTACGATGTCGACGATTGCCCGGCGATATGCTACGTGAACCTGAGCGCAAGCATAATGCCGATATTTACATATAATTTACACATATCTTTTGTGTAATAATTATAACATAGAATACTTACGTCTATCCATGTTCATTTTAATACTTTTCCACGCAGTCCTTAGTGCGTAAGTTTTTTTTATATATTTTTTAAAAGTTCAATTTCTCGTTTCCTCTCCTTCTTCCCCTTGTTATTTATTTGGTGTTCTTTTCATATGTTCACTACCGTTCTATTGTAAGTTTTATAATAATTACAGATTTTTTAAAGCATCTAAACTTATTTTATGCAGATATTCTCAGAAGAAAAATGCACAAATGAAAATTATATCGATTTTTACTTTTTGACATTAACAATACCGACGAGTAATCAATAGAGTTGCCAGATATTTGTGTGCACTCACGAACTAAACGCCTGGTATATTGCACTCTATAGTTGTACTAAAATGTAGTTCCGTTTTGTTCTGAAATAAGTCCGATATGATTATTGTTAGGCAATTATAATAATTTTCAAAAGCCCATTCATTCGTGCATGCAGATTTGTCTTAGAACGAAATTAGAATCAATCTGGTAAGCACATAGAATTTTGGTTTTTTTATGTCAAAATTTGACGGGGGTTTCCTCTTTACAAATAATGGTATTAACTAAAAAGACAAGTGTGGTATATTTTCAATACAAGATTAGATTTTTAAGCAATACATTGTTGTAATGTGCAGGAAAATAGTAACAATAATACGAAAAATTTAAAGCTCTTGAAATATATAATTTGACATTTTTGATTAGTGACAAGCAGGTCTGGGCCTTGGTACATTGCTTTGGATTTTGTAAAAAGGTATTTCCCCAAATAGTGCTTTTTGTTCAATGAAATTACTTAATTCATTTTCTGTGCTGTAATTTCCTATTAAAGTGTTTGTGGCAGTTGAAGTAATATGAAAAAGGTCATTTTAACAAAAAGCAATAGTAAAACGGTTACAACTGCTTTAAAGATAACCGGTCCTGATAACGCTAAATCTAAATTCGCCTATGCAGAGTTATTTCGTGTGGTACTTCAAATACCAGAAAAAGATGTACAACTGCGTATTTTGGAAGCAGTTAATGGGAAGTCATCGAGTGCACAGATTGTACATGCTTTGTGCCCGAACTGTAAAATAACATTTGGTAATAGTACTGACTCCTTCAAAGAAAAAGCCACTCAAACTGATATTACCCAGGGAGTTACACATTCAACAAATCAAGCAATTAAGATAATAACACTACCACTTCAGTCGTCGCAGAATACTTTGAATACAAGCCATGTTGACGTCAGTCAAGAAAGAAACTCCCCAGCTTTGCAAAGAAATGTAATTTCTACAACAGTAACACGAAATCATACGATAGCACAACAGTCAGTGGAGTCGAAGTCTACAGGAGATCAATTGTCTAAAACTAATGATTCAACAGATACACCAGTGAAAAGGAAACGAAAACGAAAAGTATGTTTGCCACAAGTGGTAAAAAAATCACATGCCCAAATGGCACATAGTCAACTACAACCAAAACTAAAGGCTAGAAAAATTGAAAAGGTATTTCTATTTGAAAATATTACATATGCATATATTTGAGACAAATGCTTAATTTATAGAGTACAGACATTAATCAAGCGGCGACAAATGAATTAAATAGAAGAAATCGAATTGACTCGATAATATCTATTTCATCTGACATCTTAAATGATATCATTTTTGATTCGCCAGAGCCACATAAAACAAAAGAAGAACACATCATGCGCAAAATGGCTGAAGAATTTATAGATGCAGACATACGCACCGATGGATTGCTGTAATATTTTATTTAATAAACTATGATTATTATTTAACATCTTGAATTTTGTTTAGTGCAATACATCGCACCATAGTTGAAAATGACTTGGATGCCTTACGAAGGCAAATATTCGTTTGGAAGAAAATTAGAAAGGTGGAAGATCTAAATACCTTACTTACCGACGATGACGAAGTAAGTTTAACCAATTGATGCCTTAAACTATATACATTATCACAAGGCATACGATTACTAAATATTTTAACTTAATACCATCTTTCAGAACTGCCTCCAGTTAGCAATAGTTCAAGATTGCTTCCCTAAAATAATCAATGTTCTTATAAATGAGGGTTTGAACACAAATGAGATCGATTACCACTCTAACACCTGCATTCATTTAGCTGTTCTTAACGAAATCGACGATAAGTCTTTGCGTTTGTTAATGGAAAAGATAGATCTAAAGCTATTGTTACATTTAAATGATGATGGATATACTCCCATACATATGGTTGTGCGTACCAATAGTTACAATCGGGCAGAAATCATTTTAAATACATTAGATGAACGGCTTTCAGGAAAAGCTTCATTTGCTCGAGATTTTAGCGCAGAATCATCCGAAAATGAATTTAGTAAATATTACGAAGATGTTTGTAAGAAACTGGAAGAAAAATATGGCAATACAACAAGAAATGCACAACCGAAGTTGAAGAAGAAATTTTTGGAGATGGGCGATAGGAAAAGTGGAAACACGGCATTATTTTTTGCAATTGAAAATAAATTGGGTAAAATTCAATTGTTGGTTTTTACTTTAAATGTTTTTAACTAATATTAAATTTTGCAGAACATTTTGTGTTCTTCTTATTGGCGCATCTTACTGATCCTCGTGTTATGAATTTTAGCGGTCAAGACGCAAAGTCGTATTATGCGGAATTCGGTAAAATGTTACAATTAAGTTTAAAAGTGGATAATGCCATGGAGAGTGTGGTGACAATACTGGGGTAAAGATAAAAAAATATACTATTAAGAGAAAATTTGGTGTTATAGTAATTTATTATTGAAAATTTGCAAATATCTAAACTATTTAACAAAATTTATTTTTTGACATTTTTAACCCCATTCAAGTGTCAGGCAATCATCATTAATTCGGTCAAAGTTTATAGGTTTCAGTGATTCAGGTAGGCGTCTGATATTCATTGTTTTATTACTTTTTTTATTATATCTATACCATGGAAGCATTATTTTTTGAACAGTTTTCAGTTTGCTATTTACTCTAGGCCTTTGAACTTTTTCCAAACGTTTCACTAAAAATATATAATATATAATTATTTTTAATGATGATTTCATTTTAAATTTGCAACGAACCAATTTTTCGCAATTGCTCTAGCTGTTCGTCATTGTAATGTGTCGACTTGCACATCAAATCGAATTTGCAATATTTGCCGTTTAAGTAACGAGTGCAAGGCTCCTTATTAACTTCCTGTTCCAGCACTTTTCTAGGGTCTGTTAATATATGTGTATCATAATAATTTGGTGGAACCCCTTTCCATGCACACTCACCTTCGAATCGTCTCATATAACGTAATTTTGCCATATTATGAGTTAATCCAGAGTTGTGCGTTTTGCGCACATTTACATCATTCTTAAGAAAACAGCAACAATAGTCGCAATAAAAACTTTTACCACCCATTCAATTCGTTATTTATTCTTATAAACAATAAAAAAACATCAAGAATTACAAGAATGTAGCGTTATTCTTGACAAAATATTTTTGTTTACAAATCCTCCACTAACAATTTTGGAATTCATTCACAATTTGTGTATCCATTCACAATAGATCATTCCTCTATTGTACCGATTATAACTAAAAAACATATCTAAAACATAAGTTAAATTTCAAAAGTTATGAACTTGAATTCCAATTTTTATCAGTAAAAATATATAACAAAAGCTTTTTATTTAAATAATGTTCACTACTTTTAAATAATTATTTCAATGTTTTCTAGCATTGAGTTTAGAACTAGGTTGATTGTACCCACTATCGGGCAAACGCTTTGATTACTTGTATTGAGTAATGTGCTGAACATAATGAGCGCGACAGACTGCAAACGACATCTGTCAAATATTAAAATACACACGTTCTCATGGACAGTTATTTTGACAGCTGCCGGACTACACGACTGCAGGTCGACAGTTGTCGCTCTCGCTAACTTCAATATATTTTTATATTTGTCAACGATACTAGGACGACAGTAGAGAGATGAGGATGATGGTGATGCCACTAATATGTAAGCTGTATTATATCATTTGTAATAACAATTGATAATTTAAAACAAATAAATTTTCCTATTTACCTATTGTTTGCATACAAAATTTCACTTTGAACAAAATATTGAAATGGAAGGTATTAGAATGCCCACAACAAAATTGTGTACATGCAAAATGGATAGCTGTGTTGTATTGTGTACATGGTGGCCATTGTTATGTTGCTGCCTTCTCACAAATGTTCATATAGAAGGATTCACAACGCTGTTTTCAGTTCACTGCAGTCTGTCGCGCTCATTGTGTTCAGCACATAAGAAAGGCAACATTGGCAGTGTTGCATACCCTTACATACATATATGTCAAATAGTTCACATATGTAAATATTTATTTTTTCACCTCAGCTTATCATATGGAAAGCTGAATAAAAAGTACACAAATGGATTTGCACACGAAAAGTCGTTGAAAAAGTACTAATTAAAAAAAAACAAAATTGTTTCAAAATCATAAATGACTAACACCAGTTCTGAAAACATTGGACAATCCCTACCTTCTGGAACAAGAGGAGAAACTGTTAATGTCACAATGGATGACCAATCGGATCGACTCGTCCTACCTCCAATAAATTTTGAAAATGATCGTTTTCCTTATTGCATCGTTTGGACACCGATACCTGTCCTCACTTGGTTGTTACCTATGATAGGTCATATGGGAATATGTACATCTACTGGTATCATCCGTGATTTTGCCGGACCTTATTATGTGTCCGAGGACAAAATGGGCTTTGGAAGACCGACAAGATATCTGCGTTTGAATCCAAAAAATGTTGCAGGTGGATCTGCTGAGTGGGATGAAGCTGTAGCTAAAGCTTCAATATTATACGGAACCCGCATGCATAATCTCTTTTGCGACAATTGTCATTCACATGTGGCCACTGCCTTATGCGGTATGCGCTACAATAAACGAACCAGCTGGAATATGGTAGTGCTGTGTCTTTGGATATTTGTTTGTGGCAGATATGTTGGTTTCTGGGGTTTTATTAAAACATGGCTACCGTTTATAATTTTCGTCGCGTTGTGCTCGTTCCTGGCAGTGTACCTTTAAGTTTATTTAAAGGAGCTTGTTTGTAAATATTGTTTAAGCTAAAGAATTTATTTGCATATATAAATATGTAACACAATATTAAAGCGAATATTAAACTTTGCAATTCTTTTATAAGATTAATAAAATATGGTATTAGTGATTTTGTGATTAATGTACATATCTCGTAATTAGTAATAGCATGTTAAGGGACGTTGCTGAAGTTATGCGCGAGATAAGATGTGTAGCATTTTTTGCAGGTGTTCAGTTATCAGTTTGTTCGTTATTTGAAAAATAAAATTGATAATTTCATAGCAATAACATGCCCAAATATTTTGATAAAACAATTCCGGAAATATCCCACGAAACTTATTTTACTAATTGCTAAAATTTATACATACTCTCTTATCAAAGTGTAATTGAGATACGGTGGTTTTTATTTCGATTATATTATTTTATACACATACATATAAAAATTAATAAATACAATTTTACTGGTGATCAGTGTGAGTGATTGGTTGACTAACTTAATCGCCCAAAGCTTTATTGACCTCAGGAGCTAGTTCCAACAATTTTTTCCATTGATGGGGATGCAGGGATATTCCTTTTTTACCAGGCAAAATTTCACCATTTTTTTCGTAAAACTCACGGATGTCCACCATTTTGCGGCCTTTAAACTCATTTATACGCACCTGACGCAATTTTTCAATTGTCCAAGGACCACTTGGATTTTCTGAGCTATTAGTATCTTTATCGCTGGATCCGCTACCAGTCTTATCAGTACTTGCTTTGGATTTTTTCACCGGTGGTACATTTCTCTGTGAAGGCAAGAAGAATTGTTAATTTCTTCATGTTCTTAGATATTTATTTCGAAATATAAACTTACATCCTCGGGTCCAGAATCACTGCTAGATGAACTAGTGGTTCTCTTCTTTGTTTTGGGCATTTTAGAAAACTTTTGTAAAAAGTTAATTTCTTCAATGTAAGAATTTTTCTTTATTGACGATTTATAAATTCACGCGGGATAAAACCTTTTCGGCAAGCTGCTAAGGGGAAATAAACAGTGTTGCCTGCATTCATTAATTTTTTTCAGAAATATTAAAATGCATATAAATTTATAACGTATTGTATATATGTACATATATATAATGTAAATTCAAAGATACTGAAGTTCAAGGAAATCGGTTATCACGAAAAATACAAGTTTGAATTAATTTAAACATTTTATTTCTATCGTTATTGAACACTAAAATAAGTTAACGAAGCAGTTCAGGATTTTGTTGAAAACTGGAAATAATTCGCCGCAAATAGACCACATATGATGGATTTCACCAGTCATTCATGCTCAAAGTTGCCAACACTTCAATTGCAAATAATAACAGCATATTTTTTATGGTAATTTTTAATAATTCAAGAAAAAGTAAGATTAATTGAGGAATTTACACTTTGAGTAATATGCTGGTTCTCATACCTAATAATCGTAATCAACTTATTAATTCCAATGTTTTTAAATTAGTGCAAAGGCATTCGGGTTTCCCAAAAAGTTTCAACGTTATATGTGCTTGGCATCTCTACTAATCCACGTCCAATTGTTCATTTGTGCTGCGACATTTTGCGTTCAGTTAGTGAAGTGGTGAAGTGCAAGATTACGCGACATAAAAAATAGGAAAAATTAAACAAATTTTATATTCTACAAATCAAACTAAATTGTCCTTTTTGTAAAGGACAAGAGCTAATAGCAAACTCTTCGAAAAATTGCGAGATTATAAGACATAAGCCACAATCGAAAATAAAGAAAAAATACGTGTACATCACAAGTATTGACTCGAAATCGTTCGGTTCAATGCACACTCATATTGTACAAATTTAACAGTAAAAAACGAAAAAAGGTACATAATGCTGGACAAATAAATAAGAATGTATTCTATATATTTTTGCTTAAATCGTAAATTTGTTTTGGCAAGAAAAGTTCCCGAAATAAATTACTATAAAAGTCAAACAAAGAAAAAGTGCATGTAAGGACATATACCTTTYTATAAGTAATTTTTCAATGAAGACAACACTTCTTTTGTAGTGTGTTGAAACTAATGAAAAAGGGGTGAGTGCGCGGAAAAGATAACTAGTGCTGCTAATTAACGGAAAATGTTTTGACTGCTGTGAAAACTTGTGTAAAAAAATAACCATATGCAAGTATATATGTACATAATATTTATACGGAAGTTTAAAAACAGTATTTTATAACACGGTTAGTGCCTGTAATAAATTTACTGGAAAGTTTACGTAAACTTATATTAATTTTTAACCAAAATATTTCAAACAACATTTTAATGACAAAGAAAAAGTTATACGATAGCAATTGCAACAAATTTCTATTGCGTAGTTGCACATACATAATTTATGTATGCATATACAAATAATATGTATATTCATTCGTATATGTAACTTTTTTTTCGCTTGTATACAAAATTAGAATAATTTTGGTTACTAATTGGATGATACATATTGCGCTTATTTTTTCTTATCAGATTTAGTCAATGATCTGTCAATATTCATAATTTCGTAGCATATTAACTTACACATAACTTTGTATTGATGCTCTATTTGTATATTAGTTCCTATTAGTAAGTATTTGTCGCTGCTCTAAAAACTAGTATCTGTCTAATTACGTTAACCAAAGATTAAACAGTTTTAATGTTCATGTATGTGGCACGCCTATTATCAGCCTCTTTTAAATTTTTATAAAAGCCTTGATGCTGCACTTGACCGTCTATGCCTTATCTATAGCCGGGCGTTCGTTTTTTCACAGCTCATATGGCATACTTTAGGTAAATGGTAATAAAATATATACAATCAAATTGAGTGGATAGATATTCGCATTCGTTGTAATTGTATTTACATAAAATTTTCCTGTGCCTATATTTATTTATATTTCAAGCGCCACTACCACAGGGTGTTCTTAGCATTAATGTTCATAATTTTTTATCGATTTCTAAAAATAGTTTTTGCAAAAGGAGTGCATTGTAGTCATTAAATAGCAAAGATAAATATTAAGTTTATTTTCTATTGGTTTCCAACGGAAATGTTTATAGACAACAAATAAATATATGGCATATATACATACATATATATATAAATTATGGTAACATATACGAAATGTATACATATGTACATACTTAGCACTAACAAGTTTGTATGCACTTAAATCATTTATGTTGGTGTACATAAAATATTAAAATAAAAATAATAATTTTGCAATATATAATTATATACCCAGGGTATTATACATGATAGTAAATTATATATTTAAAAACAGTTATTTATGTTTTTTTTTTTATAAGTACTCTTAAACGTTTTGTTGACATTTGGTCTTAGAAAGACATTTGGCCTTTGCCAAGAGTCAACATGTACTAAATATTTACCATGTACTCATATATTCCCACAGTTCGTTCACCCACAAAAACGCAGCAACGAAGTCGGCAGTCATCATTTCAACCTCCACCTTCATACATCTGAACGCATCATAACACAATCGTAAAAAAATAACGCCAACGACAAAATAGCAACAATATAGTGAAGAGCTTTGGTCACTTTATAATTTTCATGTGAAATTTACTCAGCCAAAGAATTTTTACATAAAGAATTTTTATTGGTGCTGAGGAAGTAGAGCAATTGCAACGCATTACCTTGACGGTGACAACATTAAGATAATAGGAAAGTCGGTGAAGAAAGAAGGTGCTGCTCTTTTGTTAACTAAAAAGTAAATAAATATACACACATTTTCATATCGGTAAAATAATATAAAACTAAAATAAAATTTTTTTACGCATATAGAAAGAAAAGAAGGGGAACTGAATAACGGCATTTATTTGGCATGTCATCTGCTGAGGAGCAAAACACTAAGATGAATGAATTAACGCCGGAAGAGGTAAATAGCCAATAGTTCTTTGACACGAACATACATTTATAAAACAACAAATTATTTCCACAGATACGCGCCCGACGATTGCGTACCTTAGCGGCAGCTAATTCGTCAAAAGTAATTTCGCCAGTTAGTAATACACCTACAACGGCGGAGAGAAGCTCAAGTAGTACAACAACGCCAGCAGCAACGGACGATAATGAAAAAGGTCTGCGTTAGTTATTTTAATTTAAATATTGTTTGATACAATTGTTTAATATTACTACTTATTAATATTAATTCATTTTCCATTTAGAACTACGTAGTCCTAATTGTGCTGCAAAGGAGTCTCGGCTTTTACGCACCAATCTAGTAGCATCGGCGGAAACAGAAGCGGAAAATGTGCTGCCTGATGGAGAAAGCACTAAAATGGACGTTGACGTCGAAATGAACTCGCTGAATACTACACCTACCCAGCATATTGACATAACGAAATGCGCCTCCATTCTATCATCTGCCTCAACCACAAGTACGTCCCTACTTACACCACCAACTGATAGTATTATTAAATCGGAAAATGGCAATCATGATAGCAAAAAGTTCATTGACAACCAATTAGAACACATGGAAACAACTGATATAGATACTGCCGATATGATTATTGAGCACAAACAACCGGAACAAACGACAGATGAATTCATCGAAGATATGCTATCGAAAATATTCAATGCTACATGGAATGAATATAGTGTCGGTTCAATGATATGTCCGCAAACGGCTAGTTTTCTTGAACATTATCCGCAAATGCGTTTTGATTTTGAAACCATTATGCACGATGTTCTCTTAGAGTGTGTACTAAAGCTATTTAAAGAAGAACTCGAAGCACCAGAAGGAGCTGGCAGTAGCGCGAATTCATCTGCCGAATTGGAAGTTGCGTCGGCAAGTGGCACCGCTTCAGCAACAGCTACGGCTAACACAAATGATACTAAAGCAACCACATCTCCAGCGGCAAGCACTTCGACAGCTACGACATCATCTGGTGCGACTTCGAATCCCACATACTCAACGCCAAAAAAGATAAAAAGCGATGACACAGAAGTACAGGAAATATTAGCAAATGCGGCGCCCGGCAGCGCTGGTGGTACGCGTTCGTCAATTTTCTTTTCTGAAAATGCAATGACGCGCGGCGGCAGAAGTAGCAGCGCACGCGAAGACGAGCGACCGGCGTCATCACAAGGTGCGACATTTACATTAATTCATATATTACAATTCTAATTGCAATAAAATTTCAATCTTTTACATTCAGCATCAACGTCAAATGCCGCCAATTTAGATAATCCTATCGGTCCAGTAACACCTTCAAGCAGCTTCCATGGCACCATGGTCAGGCAAGAGGTGATCTTGTATTTGGTGAATTGCCATCGTCTCCGACAACAATATACAACAGATAACAGCGTTACCGGCAGCAATGTACCCATGGATACACAAACAAAAATACAAAATGTATTACAACAAGTACATGATGCTATAATGCGTACTACCATACTCGTGCTCACCGATCGCATTAATGAAAATTCAAATTTCATTTTCGATCAATCGCCAATGCTAGAAATGCTCTATCAGGGTCGCATACCCGACGGTTTCTTATATGATTTGGTAGCTACGGCGCATAAAACAACTGAGGATTTTCAGCAAATATTTGGTCAACTACTGCGCGGTCTTTTCATTGGCATGCAACGTAACATTTGCACGCCCAACGTCAATACACAACAAATTGATGTTCTAGCTAAATTGGTGGTCATAAAAGTGGGTGCAGTGCGACCGATCTGCGACTTGATTGCAGCACAAGTCAATTTCCTACCATCGATGTGCACGAAGATACCCGGTCGGGAAATAGTCAAATGCAGTTATCTGGGACCGTTTCTCTCCGTATCGCTCTTTGCTGAGGAGAATGTGAAATTTGCCGAAGCGCATGGCAAGAGCAATGTCATCGTGTACAGCATGTATCACTTTCGTTGGGTTAGTAAAGCGAAATATTGCTTGCAATTTAATGGTATTTAATTTTCAAATATTTATTATTATTATTATTTTTTTTTTTGGTTTTGTCAATATAGGAAATGCAATCCATGCGCACATCAATGCATACAGTATTTCATTCGTTGCTTGTAAATGTCAATAGCCGCCCCCAAACACTCGAATACATAAGTAGAGTATTGCGCTACAACGAGCGTCGTGCACAGTTCGCTTGCGATGAAAAATTGCTTGCACGCGATGGTTTCGTCATTAATTTAATGAGCGTGTTGCAACAACTGTCGGTGAAAATCAAATTGGATCGCATCGATCCGTTATTTCCATTTTATAAAGACACATTGATCTCAATCGAGAATGATACGAAATTGCGTTTTACCGCTGACGAATACAAGCAATTCATTGAACGTGATTTCGCTACAGCCACCCATAATGCCAATTTCCAGACGCAATGTTGGTTTCTTACACTACAAGCTCATCATTTAGGTTACATGCCGGCCATACAACGCTATCGGCAGAAGGCGCGCGCTATAAAAGAACTGCAAAAACTCATCGATGAAATTGATCGTACCAAATCACATTGGGAGAATACACCATATGCAAAGCGGAATAAACAATTTCGAGAACGTTGGCATAAGCAGTTTAAAAAGTTATCCAGGTAATTGATGTTCATATATCGACAAAAAAGGCTTCGTAAAAATTGAGTAAACAAGATTATAACGGTGTATACTATTAGATCAAATTTGAACCGGACTAACAATACCAATGTAGAAGAATTCGCACTAACAATTTAGTAAAATAAGTTATAAGGGTGTATGACATCTGATCAAATTTGAACCGGACTGACAATACCGATGCAGATGTATTCTTATTAAAAATTGATTAAATAAAATGTAAACTATTTTACAAAAATTAATGTAAAAAATCCAAGAAAATATATTGAAGAAATATTGGAAATATTTTTTGATTTTATTTTAAATTTCCACTTAAATTCTATTAATTGTCTTAACATATTCTAATAATTTCAATATTTTTTATACACTTTTAGGTCCAAATTGTGCAGTGAACTTTGTCTGCTCGATCCAAAACTTTTATCGTCTTGCATGTACTTCTATTCAACGGTTTGCGAATATCTGCTATATCAGATTGAGGGACGGCCTGTTGAGGGGCCATACATAGCCAAGGTGCCGGTGCAACAGTTGAAGCCAACCGATGTACTAGCCGCCCTGCCGGAATGGTATGTGGATGATATTGCCGAATTCATATTGTTCGCCATGCAACACGCTCTCAATGACATTAGGCAGACAATCGATCACTCAATAATCACATGGCTGCTAACATGCGTGTGTGTGCCCAATCTCATTAAGAACCCGTACGTCACTGCCAAATTAGTTGAAGTGTTATTTGTGTTCTCACTGGGTCCGCAAAATGCTCTAAGTGCATCCGTAAGTCTAATCAATTATTATTTTTTCATTTCTATTTATATTTTTAATTTCATTTCTATTTTTAACCAAAAAAGATGTGGAATCACGAATTAGCACAGACGGTACTTTGCAGCGCGCTCATGAAATTTTACGTAGATATTGAAACGACTGGACAAAGCACTGAATTCTACGATAAATTTACAATTAGGTTTGTGAATACACACGCGCCACACATACTAGTGAACGAATTTTATTTTTATATATTTTTTTATATTTATATTATCGTTACAGGTATCACATAAGTCATCTGTTTAAATCAATGTGGGAGAATCCTGTGTTGCGGCAGGTTATGATAACTGAATCAAATTCAGGTAAACAATTTGTCAAATTCATAAATATGCTCATGAACGACACCACATTCCTGCTGGACGAATGTTTGGAAAATCTAAAGCGCATACATCAGACCCAGGTACATTTTCCACCATTTTCGGGTATGCTTCTATAATGAATTGTATTCATTTACATTATTTTTTAGGTATTAATGATGAATGACAGCGCCTGGGCGCAATTGAGCTCCGACCAGCAGCAGACTAGATTGTCGCAATTGAATACTGATGAGCGACAGTGTCGTTCGTATTTGACGCTAGCACGCGAAACAGTGGAAATGTTCCATTATTTAACGGTAAGTATATTAATTGCCGAACAGTTTGAAAATTGGTAAAGAAGAGTGTGTTGAATATTGCGATCATATACGCATACCATTGCAGACGAAGAGCAAGAGTTGCCGCGAGAAACGCGAGTGACCCTTGCGCAGCTTCGTTCTGGATACTGTAGCAGATTAAACTACTACTTGCACAGAATAGACTCCGACACATCCAACATATCTCCTGCGTGCAATGAATCTCCACATGACTTTGGCAACCTCTTTGCATGCCCTGCCAACCCCACTCATCTAACACCCTTTTTTCTTTGGTCCGAACCCGTCGAAACAGTACGTTTCCTGGACCTCCCGCTAGATAACGTCGACGACAACATATATAACCCTTATCTTACCTAACGGGGATTAAATAACTGCTAGAAAAACAAAAACAACAACATATACGCTACAACAAAAATAATGTTCACTAAAATTTTCATGTCTTTTGTGACGATAGTAAACAATCGAAGGTCAAAAGGTTGTCTGTTCCCACGTGGGCTAGGTCCCTTAAATCTAACGTATACCCTTATCCCAACGTATTAAGAGCGCTTTATTTCTTTCATACATATGTGACCAAGATTGGCTATTCAATAACCACGGTATTATAACCAAACTGCCAGATGCAGATCATCAGTAATGTTTTCTGTCGCTACAATAACAACATGCAGAAAAACATTTTTGGAATTTCTCTTTGGTAAAGTTCAGTTTTGCAGAATTTGTTGAGGAAGAACCGCAGTCAGAAAAAAGTATTGCTCAAAACTCATACTACGCATTTGGCACAAAACAAACAATTATTTCCATTTTCTATATACATCTATAACCTATATGTGTGTATGAGTACATTTACCTAAAAAGCCATTGTTGTCGCTATTAAGACGCATGTGTATATGTATGTGTGCAATTTTTAATTAAATGTATATTATATTTTTCATAATTTTCAGAACGACATTAAAGAGCCATTCATGCGCGACGAAATAATCGATCGGCTGAGTTCAATGTTGAATTTCAATCTACAACAATTGTGCGGCCCCAAGTGCAACGATCTGAAAGTGCGCAATCCCACCAAATATGGTTGGGAGCCACGTCGGCTGCTGGGCGAAATTTTCGATATATATCTACATTTAGACTGTGATAGGTTTGCGCAGGCATTGGCCGCCGACGAACGTTCGTTTCAAAAGCATCTGTTCGACGATGCCGCCAGCCGCATCGAACGTTTGGGCATACGCTCCACGATTGAGGTGGAAAAGTTCAGAGCATTGATTAGTAAAGCGCATGACATTTACGGTAAACTAGATAATGCTCTTGATTTATTTTTAATGAATGAGGTTATTTTTTGCATACTTATGTCTTTATATTTTTGCAGTTGCTAATCAACTAGCCGAAGATGAATGCGCCGATGCGCCCGATGAATTCAAAGATCCGCTCATGGATACACTTATGTCCGATCCGGTTACACTGCCATCGGGTACGATTATGGATCGTGCTATTATAACGCGACATTTACTCAATAGCAGCACCGATCCATTCAATCGTCAGCCACTAACCGAAGATATGCTCGTGCCAAATAATGAGCTAAAAGAACGTATCGATGCTTGGCGGAAAGAGCAGCGCTTCAAAAGACAGCAGGACACGAATGTGCGCGTAAATGATAAGAGCAGCTAAATTTGTATTTTGTAATTAGTGTGTGTATCATGGTACGAACGACGAATGAGAAATAGGCAAAAACAAAAAAAAAAAAAAAAAAAATGTTACAAAATGCGCCATCGTACGTTGCTGCTGCTGCTGGCTGCCGCTGATACAACAACTAATTGTGTTGTTTGTTGGCGAAGGTTCATGAATCGAATTTTAATTAGTTGTTTTGTGTGTGTGCGTGTGTCTGAACAAAAAACAAAAAAAAAAAAAAAACGAAATTGAACAGAATTGTCTTACTTATGATTGCTGCTGCTTCTGCTTCTATTTATTTACCTCAATACAACTTGAGGTACTAAATATTCCATTTTATTTGTTATTTTTTCGCTTGAAAGCTGGCGATTACGCTGCGTCAAACATGTATGCATTTTTCGTAATTATAATTTTTGTACGATTTGTTTTTGTTACAAAATGGAGAAAAAAAAGCAAACACATAATGCCGTCAAAATAATTATATTTTTGCTTCATTTATTCCATTTTTTTTTTTGTCTTTGTATCTGTAATTATTAGTGGTCTAGTGAATATGCTTATTACACGCAGCTGAAATTTGCAAAAACATAATCTTTTTTTATACATACATACATACTTACGCTACTGAAGGAGAAGAAAACACGAAGAAATAGTTATAATAAATGTTGGTTCCATATCCGCCCTGCTTCAATAATACAACAACAACATACATATATTGTCAATTTATTTGAATAGATGTATACACCAACATAGAATAACATTAATAGCAGGAAGGCAAACGAAGAACAGCAAACAAAAAAAAATTATGTAAAATTATAACACTTAAGAGGGGTTTGAAAATACGATTTTTTTATGTAAGCATTAGTTTGAAGCTAATAATTAAAATAATTAAATTAATAATAAAAGAACAACATAAATAAATAATTATCAAAACAAAAACAAAAATATTAAAATATATGCGTAATAAACGATGGCCTATATTTGATTTAATACAATTTTTACATATATGAGTACATAAATGCATATATATATATAACTAATATATACATCTATATAAGTACATATATATAAAAGCAGAAATTACATAATTACATAAAATAATAGTAATATTAATTGTAAGCTATCTATATTAGCATAAAATGGCGACGTCATTGCCGCCGTGCATAAAATAAAAACGTAAGTTCTTGAAAAGATGTTCAAAAAAAGCATAAACAACGCATTTTTAAATACATACTCGTTTGCAGTCTCAAATAGGAAGTAAATTTATCAGCATTGTCCTAACAATTTTTTCTTATGTACCGGCAGTAACTAGCACTACCAGGCGCTCAGATATCACAAGTGTGAGCTTGGCGGCTACATAGCGTTTAATACTATTCCCCCGACAGTCGGGTCTAAGTAACCGGAACGCATCCGAATTTTTTTTTCGGCCAATGACTGTCAACTCGGCACAATTCCTCAAAATTTCTGCAGTAATGGTTTCTGCCGCTACAACAACAACTAACAGTAAATATTACCTACATTTAGGTGCTGAGCATATTATATTATGTAGGACATCACACCACACTTACAAATAATGTGTATATTTTCGTGGGTATGTGTATTTCGTATATTTTGAGGAATAATTTTAAAATTTTACGAAAAAATTAAGTAAGAAATAATGCAAAATTTTTATAATTTTTCAGGAAGTAGCTTGAACTGTAGTCTTTGGCTATGTGCTAGGTTTTGAAAAAAAAGCAATGAACTGAAGCCAAATATTGTATAAATATATACAGTACTAATAAATTTACGTCAATAAAAAAGAAGAAATACTAATAAATATAGCCCCAACCCTTACCCTTCCTTCAGTATTAGCATGTATATAAACCCCAACCGTAAAAAAGATTGTGATTTTTTTTTATAAATCTGTTCACTATTAAATTGAAACTTATTGTCGCTTATCAGCAAATACAAGCGCCGCAAGCGCAAATTTGGTTTATTATCAAAATAACAGATGATCTAAAAATAGTTTGGAACCAGTAAAAAAGACGCAAGATTTTCACATATGTACGTTTTTTATTATTTATTAAATTTTAATTTCTATTTCACTTTTATTATTCCATAATATGCTTATAAAATATGTATCCTTAAGTGAGCGCGTCTGTCGCGTGGACTCTTGCGCACATAAAGTACCCTAGTATATATGTATATAAAATTACGTATAGTAATATTTTGATTAGAAATAACGACTTATGTACATGTTTTTTTTTTTTTGTTATTAATTACTATTTATTTAAATCTAAGCAGTTTTATTTCAGCGCTCTACGGCGTATAAACTATGTTAAGACTTCAAAACAATCTACAAATGCAAAAAAATAATATGTTTACACGCTTTGGTGGCAATTTACCAACTGAAAAGGAAAATAATATGTATTGAAGCGCAAATTTTTACAAATTCAAACAGTAAGAATAAAAAAAATAATAATAAAGTTAT